TATTTGTTGTTTAATTTATTCTCTGTATTTTTTTCCAGTGAAAATTATTACAAGGAAAAGAACTGAGGGGCCAGTTAATACCACAACGCTTTCAATACTTTTCACAACAATAATCTGTAAGAAAGACAATAAACTTTAATCTTACGTAATTCATTTGTGCGTTTTGATTTTTTATGCTCAATTTCCAGGTTGTGTAACCCTGGAATGATAGAAATGTGAGTTTTTAATTTTCAATAAAAAATTATTGAGAATTCATTTCCGGTGATTGTCCACATCCGATAATTCCACTTTCTCCAATTCACAATAATATATTATCCTGTCGTACCTATTCCGGAGGATTGGGGATAGATTTATTTATTTATTAGAATCCGTGATAAAATGGGAGACGGTGAATTTTTGGGTAAGTGATGGCTGATTGTTTCTGTTGTGCAATGGTACACGTGTTGGATTGACTGCTTTCACTGGATCCAGTGGTGGATCTGGTTCCCTCCTCCGGGCAATTCATTGCACAACACCAATATAATATCACCTGGGGTATTCGTGCTCAGGATGAATAAAGAATATCACGGAAAAGCTATGCAACAGAAGAAGAATTTATTAAAATCGAATTTTCTGTCAATAGATTTTTTTTCAATTCACAAATTCCACAATCAAATTGTCCCAGATCAACTTCTATCTTCATTATTATTTATTTATTACTGTAGCATTATTATTTGTTGCTCGTTTGCACTCAATTATTAACCGGTAATATTCCTCATTAATCAGACAATATTACTTAGGTCTAACGAGAGTTAATTAATTTTAAATTTCAATTGTTGTCCAACAATTATTCATTTAACCGAAATTTCGGATGATTTCGAGCTGAAAATTCCTATAAATTCTGGAATGCCAATGATTACTGAGAGGATTCCCCGCAGGTCCTGATCCTCTGGATGAACCGAATCGTTCAATCGAGATAAATGGGGGATTCCCGGGAGATTTGACAGCCCAGAGTGAGCTTTCCTGGAGAAATGGCCGAAAAGGTCGGATTGAAAAATTTTTAAATAAAATATAAAAGTGGGGATTAACGAGAAAGAGGTGAGACTTGGCCGATGGTTGTGGTGCGAGTGAAGGGGCCTGGTGGATTTGTTCGAGGCCATTCCTGCACCTCTCCATCGACTAAAATAAGTTGTCAGTAGTAACGGTCACCATATCGCGCAGACAAGACAGCAAAAGCAATGAACGCATTGAAATATCTCGGACTCCTTGCACTGGCGGGAATCCTTTCGAATGGTGAGTAAACGAGGATAAATGATATTATCGTTGCACATTATAACATTGAAATGCATCACGGGTACATCGGCACTAGGATTCCCCCGATTCGTTGCATTCACCATCCGAACGATTCGACTTACGACACACCAGGTGATTTTACTCACAAACCGCTTTCACTGTCTACCGACCATATGGTCACCATAATTATGATGATATAATGCATTTTGCTGGCCCATTACTTTTTTTTTAAACATTCATTTTTTTATTTCACTCCTTTCATCCCTTGACCACACCTTTATGCTAATTGTTTGGTAAACTAATTGTTTTCTTTCATATGCGCATTAGTTTATTGGACGAGTTCATCTGAATATTTCCTTCTTTCATTTTCCTCAGTCTCTCGATTTTTTTATTCATTCGAAAAACGGAATTTCAGTGAAAAAATTATTTTCGAAAAATATTCATATTCATTTTTATTATTCCAGATTTTTTATTTATAATTATTCATTATTATTATTATTATTATTATTACTTTTAGTTGAATTTTTTATTCTGAATTCATGCGAAATTCATTGAGAATAAAAATTCAATTTTAAAAAGTCAAATGTGTGGAATGATTTTTTAAAATGAATAATTCCAGAAAATTTTCTGTAATAGTATTTTTATTTATTTATATAAAAAATTGGTGAATGAAATTTTCAGGAGATGCGGTAGCAGTTTTTGGTCCGCCGACTTGTCCTGATCCTTATGGAGTCCACGCGTATCCTCACCCTGAGGATTGCTCCAGGTTCTTCCTCTGTACCAACGGCACGCTGACCCTAGAGCAGTGCGAGAATGGACTTCTCTTCGATGGTCATGGATCTGTTCACAATCACTGCAACTATCACTGGGCAGTCCACTGCGGAGAACGCAAGGCTGACCGTAATTACTAATTATTCATTTAACCCAAGCATTAAACCAACAATAAAAAAAAAAAAATAACAACAACGATAAAATTTGATAGCCACCACAATTAACTCTTCTCAGAGCTAAATAAATAATTCCCTGCTCTAATTAATGAGGAGTATTCCCAGTGAATAATTGATTTATCCAACAAAACAATAATAAACAAGCAACAAATAATAATTCTAAAATAATAAATAACATTGCTGGAAATAATAATAATAATGGAGTTAGTGATGGAGTATTTTAATCTAATCAAAGCACTTGTCATTATTCATTAATTATTAATAAAAAATAGTATTATCTGCTGCACCTCCTGGTGATCGTCATGAAATCTAATGATCCTCTGAAAGTCTACGAATATTTTTCCCAGTGACTCCATTCAGTTCACCCGGATGTGAATACCAATTCGGTGTTTATTCTGAGAGCGACGTGTGCAGTACGAATTACATCAAATGTATCCATGGAGAGCCTCACCTGGAGGCGTGCACCCCAGGTCTTGCTTGGGACGACAAGAGTCACTCCTGCGTCTGGCCTGATCAATTGATTCCTTACTGCAATCCTGAGGCCATCGTCGGCTTCAAATGCCCATCGAAAGTACCTAAACACACAGCTGCTGCTAAATTCTGGCCATTCCCTAGGTAATTACAGTGGAAAAGTTAATTATCTCTGACAAAATTAATAATTCCATCGAATGAATATTGTCTATGTCATTATTTATAATAAATTATGCAATTTTAAATTATTTTGCCGCAGATTTCCGGTACCTGGGGATTGTGGAAGATTGATTACTTGCGTTGATTATCACCCTCGTTTAATTACCTGTGGGGAGGGAAAATTATTTGACTCCATCACCCTGAGCTGCATGGACCCTGAGGAACATCCACACTGGTAATTTATTTAATTAATTCCCGAATGAATTTGGAAATCAACGTAACAATTTTGTGATCAAATTGTTTTTTATTAAATTTTCAGTGCCGATGGATTGTAAATACAAAATTCCACCCCGGATTCCTAGAGAATTGAGTGAAAAATTTTAGATGATTGAATCTCCGGCGACTGGACCATTTACCGCTGAGTAAATTCAACAGAATAAATTTATTCAACTAATTGTTGAATTATAAAAAATGAGAAATTCTATTAAAATTATAATTCTCCCCATTTCACCGGCTGTTCCATAGAAAAATCTAATAAACTTTGATTTTCCTTCCAGCACACAAAAAAAACAGAAGAAAAATCGAAACCCATTGATTTTTATAATTTTTTATTATGAGAATCAATTACCAAAAAAAAAAAATAGAATTTTATAAATTCTCTGGATAAAAAAAAATGTAAAATAGAACCGATTTTCGAAAATATAAATAACTGACACTCGATTCTTTTCAAAAATATATTTTTCCCCTTTGAAATGAAGTGAAATAATTAATTATGTTGCAATTAATGTATTAAATTTGTTGAGTGTTAAAAATTTCTGGGATCGAATGCCCAAACTGTAACAAATGTACATGAACTGGAATAAAATAAAATCTGTACAGATAATTTTTCGTATTTTCTTTTTATAATTAACACGAGAGCGTACAAAATATACAGTAGTCTTTATTAAATCAATAATAAATCTCACACGATTGTTAAACCGCAGGACGTGGGAGTATTTACAAAATAGCGAGTGTGGGGTGTGCAGAATAAAAAAACCATAAAAACTCTAATTATTTTTATAAAAAACCTCCCGAATTCCCAGGAAAATAATTTCCCTCGAATTTCCAAATTTCATTGACGATAAATACCCCAGTGGCTTTTCTCTTTTTCTGATAACAATTCCTTATCATCTCCACTAAAACTCATAATTTCATTAAAAAATCAATCAACGACCGAAAAAAAATTGATATAAAAATCGAATCACCCGGATTTTTTTACAGACCAAAAATATTAATTAACTCGTTAAAATAATGAAGAACAAATTCAGAACGGGACATAATTATTCATGAATTTATCTGCGAGAGTCAAAAAAAAAAAATCGAAAAGGGTATCGAATAGGATTTTAGGATTTTAGGATTTTAGAATAGAAAAATTAATTCGCAGGTCTAAAATAATTTTCTCAGTTCCTGGGTCTAGCCCTGAGTGGCACAGCCCCAGATGGTAGAGGAGGAACACCTGGTGGAAGATTCTCCTCCTCAGGCTCTTGCTCGTTGCGACCATCGGGGAGTTCTCCCTCGAGGGTGGCAGGTGTTGTTGGTACATCGCAGTCTTCAGTGGGTGGTACGACACATCTCAACGATCTCCTGTCGAACACCAGCATCGCTGGACACCTCTGGAGACGAGGATATCCACCCTGGCACTGCCAATAGCGATTGCAGGACTTGCCAAGTGGAACATTCCCATTGGCATCGTCATTGCACAGCGCTAATTGAGGGGAGTAAAAATATTCTCATCACTGGGTTAAGATTTAATTAACTGTTGTTTTTTTTTTCCTTTTGAGGGGAACGTGGGACAATGGAGTTATGTATGGAGGTGCGACGTGTGGTATTACGTGAATGGAAATGAGGATTGGGCCTCGCCCAGAACTCGGGGCAATGACTTCGTGTTGAAAGGTAATGAAAGTTGAGGGAAGAATTGTCATGAATGGTTTACCGTTTCTTCGGGGAGACAAAGAATTTTTTTTATCATTATTTTTCGAGAGAGGGGAATTAAGATTGAATTTGAATTTGAATTTTGATTTTATTGATTTGATTTTATTTGATTGATATGATTTAAAGATTGAATTTGAATTTGAATTTATTTAATTAATAATTGAAATTAAAATTGAAAATTGAAAAAAATCCTTTTCTCAAGTTTAAAGCGTTGCGATAGCTCTGGAGATTTTAATATAATTTATTTAAAAAAAAAGAAAAAATGAAAAAATGAAAAAAATGAGAAATTTTGATTTTGGTGGACAAAAAATCGGATTTTCATGGTTTTGATGAGGAAAAAAATTTTCGAAAAATTGGCTTACGATGTTTTTGACAGCCTTCAACATTCTCTGGCCAATCGCAAGATCGTGCCCTCTCGTTGTACAGCAATCCCCCAATGCAGAGTTGTTCGGTTGCTGTACCATTCCAGCACGTCCAGTACCTCGTGCACGATGTCTCATGACCAAAAATTCCATACAACCAATCGCAGTGTTCCGCACCAATCGGTGGATTTGCCTGGCGTTTGCCATCGCAGTAATTCGCCCTCCAGGGGTAATCACACCCCTCAGTTACACCCCGATGTTTTCCCGCGAATACGAGACCATTTGGACAGTCGAATAATTCAGCGCGTCCATTCACGCATTCCCAGTAACGATCACAGTAATCTATATCACCAACCACTCGGGCTTTTACCTGGCACGGGTCTTCCTGCTGCTGTTTTTGGGCTAGACCTAAAAATTTTCAAAATTTACAGGTAAGACGTTCCTTACGATTTTCAAACTAAAAAAATTCCGGAAATATGAATTTTTTTATATCTGGCAATCGATACATCGAATTTTTAAGCTCTATCCATTCGATTTCGATGGATCGACCTTTTTTTTAATGTTTGAGTATTTTTTTATTGATTAGAATCAGGAGATAATGATGAATCGAAAGGGAAATTGTAAACAGTGGAATGATATGGGTGGGAAGCCATGCGGAATTCCGCTCCCAGAGATAGAGTGAAAGTCCTTTCAGCCTTGACTTTAGCGACCTTCGTTCATCCTGGCAAGTGCCTAATCAGGTTCTAATCAACGGTTTCCTGATAAGAAGAGATTTATTCTGGCCACTGGTATTGTATAATGAAAACGTAAGACCTTGAAAGGGCTCAGGATAAATCTAGATAAATTTCTAGATAAATCGGTGGGAATGTTTTGGTAGAAATAATGTGGGTGTACCAATAGTTAAAATGTTAACGGTAAATTGGACTTTCAGGTTGATCCAGCTGCTCACGACTCGCCCTTCGCTGGACTCACGATCGTGAGGTTAAAAAATAGTCAATAAAAAATAAACGAAAAATCACCTCGGGCAATTCTCTGGGACACATCTCTTCAGGATCTACACCGGTTGAGTTACATAATGTTCAGTGGCTACAATATCCTCGAGAGGTTCTTTCTCGGTGTTGGCTTACTTTCCCTTCCTTTACGACTTCTACAGATCGTGTTATTCAGCTCAAAACAAATGTGGATACAACGCGCTAACGGATAAATGCACACGAGAAAAAATTAATAAATTACCCGAGGAAATAATACGCCCCACCTCCAGGCGCTGTGACCTCTGGTATTATTTTTTTTTTTTAATGGAAAATATAATTTTCCAAACGAATGACTTCATGCGACATTTCCGTGTGAAAAAATAAATCTAGTGAGAGTTTTCCACGGGCGATTGAATCCTCTAACTTATCACCAAGAATTTTTCTCATCGTTTCACCTTTCCAACCGGAAGTGAGAAAATCCAACGAAAATGTCGTTCCATCGGTTATCAGGAAACGTATGGATGAATTGATATTTATGAGATGTGATTAGCAACCGGCTTTTATCCCGAGTGATTACAGTATTAATTACGACATTGAGTTGTGAGTCGAGGGGACGAGAATTAATTTTTCATAAAGGAGAAATGGCAGGAGAGTGTAAAGATACTCTTTGGGTTGAGCTACTTTCATATTTTCACCCGAGAGTCACCGGGTGAAAGTTCTTTCTCCCGAGATGTGTATGTGAAATTTGAAATACATCAGTGATTCCTATTGTTTTCAAATTCAATTTAAACAATAATTATTTACTGAATAAATAAGCAATTCGTCGCACCCAGAAATTGCCCAATTTATTTACCTCCCGTTGAAAATTCGTTTATCTCAAAAACCATTGACTTCAGGAGAAAATGTGAAAAAAACGTTTTTCCGGGGAATTTAATCAGCTACAAAAAAGTCTTCTACCATTTTTACTCTGGATCGATAGTTTTCGATATAAATCGATAATAAAAAAATGGTCAATTCCACTTCGCGGAGTAATGGATAATTAATTAATAAAAAATGATTGAATAATTAATTCGTGTTGATAAATTACTCGATTTCTGAGAAATCAGTGAATTTAAATACTGAACTGGTGACTTTCCACGATGATTTCCCCGCAACTGATGAATATAATCACCTAAAATTACATGAATAAATAAAATTCCCCATGAAATAATACCGCTGCGAAATAAGTACCGGACAATTGCAGGATTTAATCTCCCAACGATCATCAACAATTCATAACCCGTTAAATTATTCAATTACACCGCAATGAATTCACAATTGATCGTACACGAAGAGTAAAAGTGAAAGGAGAATTCATATTTAAAATCGCCCATATCCCAATTGTGAAATAAATAAAACGATTACACTCGCGACTAATCGATAATCCGAGTACCCCATCCCCAATTACCGCCAATAGAAAAAATTCAAAAATTCTGCAAAGAAATCCCCAAAACGCGAAAAAAAATAAATAAATAGAAACCACAAACCACGAGGAGTTAGACTTCCTGGTGACCCGAGGGTGTGCGTAATTGACGGATTAATTGATCGACTGATGGACTAATTGATCTTACCTTTGGCAGTAATGAGGACCAGCACGAATGCAATTATGTGAATCCCTCCCATCCTGGAGGTATCTGATCAAGAAGTGAGTAACTCAACTCGTAGATGATTTGAAGCTCCAACTTCAGGAGCATCAACTGGTTCAACTGGTTGATGGTGACTTGGGCTTTGGTATGGGATCCGAAGAAGCTTTGCTGATGGGTTTTCGTGGCGGCACTGGACACTGGGAGAGGCCTTTGGCAACGGGTCTTATATCAACTCCCCACTCTACATCTCCTGAGTCTCCTTTTGCCACTAGGAAGGCATCATGATTATTCCCATGGAAAAATATATTCAAAATATATATAATATCGAATTATTCCGTCGATCCCTAAAAAGTACATATATTGTACGTGCATGAAAAAAAAAATATACACATTAAATAATTATATTAATATATTAATATTAATATATTGTATTACATTTATATAATAATATATAATATATATATATATATATCATCAGGCGATCCCATCGACACGTGTAATATATCATATATCAATATATTATATTATATTGATATATGATAATAATAAGAATAATAATAATTATTGTTATGATTATTACTATTATTGTTTGCCATTTATCTTTGATTTTAAATATATTTATCTTGAAAAAAAAAATGTCGGGATACCCCCATTATTTTTCGGGATAAAAAATATAAATGAAAATAATAAAAAATATATAATAAAAATGAAGGGAACCATCAGCTCCCAGCATGACGCCACGAATTCTCATGCGAAAGAACTAGCGATTACTTTTATTTTTAATCCATCAATCCCTCCTCTTCGTTATCATTTCTCCATGGAACTCAATCAAGATGATACGGCTGTGCGTAAATAAATAAAAAAAATGTATCAGAAATGAATGTTCACGGTTTCTTGCGATTCTTCGAGCGAGCGATTGCGGTCTCCTTCACGCGATCGAGAGAAAATAATGGGTGAAATACACCATGACAATCGGTGATGGGATTCTAACATGGAGGCCACGATATTCATGATCAGATCCGAGTAATTGGAATGGTCAAGTGATTCCAGCGTCTTCAGTATTTTTTTTTTGCGATTGTAATTGTAATTCGTGGATTGTAATTCAACTCGATTTTTACTGCTGATCGATTTTTCGTCGATATCTCGGAGTTTATGGGTGATATCGAAATTAGTGTCATTACCTTTTTTGTAGAGCGATTTGAGAGCTAGGAAAAAGGTCATTATAAAAATGGCGGTATTCCCATCGGGTACGGAGATTTCAAGGAAGAATTGCGTTCAGGTCAATGACAAGTGTCATTTTTACGGTTACTCGGTTTTAATTGGATATCTGAGAATTAATGGGTGATATCAAAATTTTTGTTAGTACCTTTTTTGTCGGGGAAATCGAGATCTGTGGAAATGAAAATAACAAAAATTTCGCTATCTCCCGTGGATTTGGAGATATTTCACGAAAATTAATTTTTGTTGAATTTTCTCTTCGAGCTACTGCACCTCTTTTATCCCTTTCCCACCGGTTAATTGAACCCAATCACTGAATCTGTGTCATGACAGTAGAAAACAACGATTAGATGACTCGAGGATTCGTTGAGGTCATCATAAATCATAAATAATTCCACCCCGTAATTTTTGATACTTTGAAAGTTCCAATTAAGAATGATTGAGAGAAAATTCATGAAAACCGGAACCATCAGCTTTTAAAATTAATAACAAAAAAATAATTACACATTTCACAACTGGTCGTGGGTACTTTTAAATATTTTTGACAGCTTCCTTTAAAAATTCTCGGGGTAAATTTCGCAATTGATTCATTAACGCAATTTTGATTAATTCCGGGTAGATTATCTCGAGGTGTGGGAATGGTCACAAGAACATTCGAAATTTTATAATAATAGCCTATTTCGAAATTCCATCCTCACCCGCGTTTTATGGTTTTTTTTTAATTTCATTTCACCTCCTCGATTTCCACGCCCCCCCGATTTTTTTTTTTGAAAATTCTGGATTGTAAAATATTAAATAATTGTTCTGGAAATTTCAGTGGCCTCAGATCTCAGATTTTTTTAATGTTTTTTTTCGAGTCACGACCCTTGGGCGAAGGAATTTTGATCGCTTATCAGAGTGATGGTGATGAATATTCAACTGCCAATGATAATACGTGCTGTCTGTATGAATTACAATGCACAGAGTGAAATATTTTTAAAACTACGATATCGCGATTAAAATCGGTGAAAAACGATTTTTCACTGAATAAATTTATTCACCCGATCAACAATTGATAAAAACTCCCATTTCGCGTCTAGAAATCTGAAGTAATTATTGACAAATTATTTACGCGTAATTACAATAAAAACTAGAGAAGTTACCAATTAAATAATGAATCATCGGTAATTATTATTTCATAATTATTCTCATGTTTTAATTAAATAATTTCTCATCTAACGATTCTAATGTGGTGATGGGTAACGATTTTCAGGGCTTGGATTGCCAGACGATTATATGATCCATTTGAAACCGATAGTAATCACGAAACATCTTCGATAACATTAAAGTAGAAAAGCCGGTTCTCTCGGGTTGAAAGTAAAAGTTGTCTTCACGAGAGATCGGAAATATCGTTTTCTGAGTTATCCAACAAATTCGAGAGACACCTGTGAAAATCACAGCGAACACTCGACTGAAATTTAACAATCAACGATAATAACAAAAGCTGAGAAATTTTTATTCAACCCGACTAATTACTGTTTCCTAATTATTCATATTCCACATTCAATTATTTTGCGCTTTCTGTAATTTTCGACTAAAATTTTTTGAGTAGCTCAATATTTTTTAAAATATCCTATTCATATTCAATAATAATATGATGATATCACCATTAATTAATAATAATACAAATTTTGAGAATGAATTTTTTTATTAATTTGAATGAACAATTGAATTTTCAAACGAATTTTTTCTGAGATAAGGCCCAACTCGGTCGATAACAGGCCCTCATTTGATAAGACAGTCCCAAAAAATGAAGAAGATCGGTCCCTGGGTGTCAAGGTCGTCCGTAAAAATGTCCGCAGGGCCTTGTGATTTAAATTTCATCTGCATCCACTCCTCGTTTCAAACTTAACGACCCCAAAACCATAAATCCATTAAAAAGAAATTCTCATTTTATATTTTGAGGATTAGAGGCAGAGATTCACTGGAGGAATTGCATTGGGCCGGAGTGCAAGGACCCCGAGTCCTTGGGCCCTTCTCCACTTTCACACTGGCATCTCAGTCCCTTTTTTCACCATCTTTCACTTTTTATTTTCCTTTTGCATCCTTTCTCCGCCATTCTGACGCACTTGGATTTCGTCGAAAATACCCTCTCCCTTCCCTCTTCATTAGGGCCTTAGGGCCCCTCGGCACCACTTGAATTATCATCGGGACCGGGTGAATTACGTGAAGTGCCGAGTCATACGTAAGGGCGATAACACCCGGTGAGATAATTCAATGCTTCATTCAATTAAATCCTCAATCCACACTGTCTATTTGTTATTAATAAAACATTCGTTTATTTAATACCACAACTTATTTATTGATCAATAACTTTATTTAAATAGTCCCACAATCTATCTTTTTTTTCAACTAAAAACAAATTGTTCTATAAAAATTCATTCTAAAGAATGAACCACCAAATAAATAAATAATAAATAAATAATAAATAAATACCCACTGGCTTGAAATAATAAAAATTTTTATTCGATTTAACTCGTAAAATATAAATACAATAAATAAATAAATAATTTATGCTTTGAAAAATCCATAAAAAATCTGCGAATGACTCAATAAAAAATCTGCAATATATTGATATATTAAAATATAAAATATATATACTATATTTTTTAAACCGGGGGCATGTGCGGGTAAAAGTCCAGGTGTTTCGAATTTTTCCGGTTTTTTATTTACCCGAATCGTCATCTTTTACGCTGGGGAGGGGGAAGGGGGAGGAGGGAGGGAGGAGGGGGTACTGCGGAATTACAGTGACTTTTTGCTCAAGTACATAACGTGATTCGGGGATTTTTGTATGTGTCTTTCGTATTTATTTTGGTCGGAAGATAATTGGAGACGGGACTGCGGCGTTGAGATGTTTTATGCTTTAATTTCAATTTTTTTTTTCACTTGGAGATGGCGAATATATTCTTGATTGCGGAATTTTTTTGAGGGTCAATTGAGATTCATCAAGAGATGAATGGAAAAATGAATTATATAAAAAAAAATTGAATGCGTTTTTTCAGTGGTTTCATTTAGCGATTTAATTGATGATGAAATGATGAAATTATTAAATGATGAAATTATGAAATTATGAAATTATGAAATTATGAAATTATGAAATTATAAAATTATGAAATTATGAAATTATGAAATTATGAAATTATGAAATTATGAAATTATGAAATTATGAAATTATGAAATGTGTAATAAATATTGTATATTTAATTTTTTAGAGGAATTTTTATCGGACCCTTTCCTCGGGATATTTCTTAGTGAGGAATCCCAATCCGCGAATTGCTCATGATCCAAGAATAGCCATTAGTCCTCGACTGCAACCCACAACTCTCAAATCGGCGCATAAACTCGCGATTCTCTGAAAAAAAAAAATAAAATGTAGAAGTGCTTCCCACCGAATGGAAGACACAACTCGAATCAAGTTCTACGATAAAACGCAGTTGCATTAAGATGATAAAAATACCAGAGGTAAGAATTACCGGGATATTTTTACCAGACTGCTATCACTAGAGATAATTCCCCCATCGGTTGCCGCGAAAATCTCCCCTATTTTTTCCCCCGCGATCAAGTCACATCTCGCATGTGTAATTACCCCGGAATGTAATTATGGAAATCACGGTGATCTGGTATTTTTTCACCGACTAATGCCCAGTGATAAATTTTTTGAATTTATTTATCATCTCGCGGCGCCGGAGATGATCAGATTACATTTGTTGTCCGGAGTGTCGCCGATTCGATATTTTATTTTTTTTTCAAATAAAAATTAAATGAACTCGCGGTACCACGGGGACTCATTAAGCCACCGACATGTTGAGGTCGTGATGTTTCTCTCACTCCTCCCCCATTTTTTTTTCACTGACCCCATGAGGTGAATTTGAATAAAAATTACGGTATCTTCTCCGGGGAATTATTCTCGAAATCGTGAAAATGTCTGGGAAAATAAAATTATCAAACAAAAAATTTTCACGAATTTAAAATCACCAATTCGTAATCGATTACTCATTATCTGTAAATATTTATCTATTTATAGGTACCATCGTCCCCGGGAAATTGCCGTCATTAATCTCTGGAAATTGGCCGATAAATCCCGACGCCGTGAGTTTAATAAATAGTTTAATGGATTAATTAATTCAAAAGTGAATGGGAAAAATTGTTAATTATTCTGCTACTGGATGAAAGTAAAATTCATGGGGATCGGGAGAACCTGTTGATTATTTTTTATCTCCCCTGTGATAATCCCGATAATAACCTGAAGATGCAATATATTATTTGTTACATATCATCCTTTATGCGAGTGAAATATCATCAATTAAAATAATAATAATTAAATAAATTGCGCAAACTGAAATTTCAATTAATTAAACTCCAATTAATCCCTAAAATCTGAAAAATCAATTTTATTACATTATAATTATTGCGAAAAAAAAATTAATAAAAAAAAGAAAAAATCGACATTTGAAAAAAATTCGAAATGCAATATATTATTTGTTACATATCATCCTTTATGCGAGTGAAATATCAACAATTAAAATAATAATAATTGAATAAATATATGGGCTCCTAATAATTAAATAAACTGCGCAAACTGAAATATCAATTAATTAAACTCCAATTAATCCCTAAAAAATCCCTAAAATCTGAAAAATCAATTTTATTACATTATAATTATTGCGAAAAAAAAATTAATAAAAAAAGAAAATTATTAATCAGCATCACCTGTTCATCGACATTTAAAAAAAAAATCGAAATGAAATAATTTCTGCCTCGATGACATTTTTATCGATAAAAAAAATCCTGACACAGTGAGTTAATACGAAAATTGCCTGAACTAATTAATGAGATCTCTTTAATCCCCGGTTTCAGGGGGAATCCCCGATCCCCGATTGAAATGTCGCCCCGCGAAATGATGGAAGATGACACGCAGAAGACACCGCGGTTATTTATAATCTCAGATGAGACGGCAACCGAAGAAATAAACACGCGTCCCATCATGTCCATTGCTCCACCCCCTCCTCCTCCTATTCCCCCTTAAGTGTCCAGTCATGTATATAAGTCCATCGAATTTATTGGACGATAAGCTGAAGTTGATATTTTTTTCAGGTACTCACCGTTTCATTGGCTTATCGGTAATCCACGTGGACGGGCGGTGCATGTCACCGTGAATTAATTGTTCCCACCGCCTCAGGATAAATTCATTTTTTACAATCTCTTTGTTGTTTTATTTATTTATTTGTTTTGGTTTCTTGTGGGGATTTTGGATTCCTGGGGTATCGAGTCGACTTCGGCTTTTGGGAGGTTTTTTTTTTGGAGTTTGGGTGAAGGGGCGGTTGTTTTTGGATTGATAATTTTGGTTTGATGGAAAATGGAAAATGGAACTGGAAATGTGAATTCTTGAATTAAAAATATGAAGTCTTGGAGAATATAAATTATTGTATTCGAAATATAAATTTTTTAATTCGAAATATAAATTTTTTAATTCGAAATATAAATTCTTGAATTAAAAATATGAATTCTTGGATAATATATAT